AATTAAAATATAAATAACAACTTTTCATTTATTACGTGTTACTCTCATATATAATTAAAAAATATAAACATTCTTGAAATTTCTCACCACTTGAAAATTAAAATAAAATTAGTTTAAATTTTTTTTTAGAATATATTGATCCATTAATTAGTTTAGAAAAAAATAAAAACTATAACTATAATAAATCATATCAACAATAATTGTAACCTAAATTGAAAAATAAATGTACTCCAATTAGCTTAAAAAAAATCAATTTGTTTTATATCAACCTAAGTTGCCGACACACAAGTTGAAGGATAAAGTAGCAAATTTGACCATAAATTATTTTTCGAGGAGCATCTGGTAGCCTAAACTATCAGATGGTACAAAATAAGTTACGAACTTTTAAAAACAGAGCATCCAATAGCCCGCCGTTAACTTAAGCTAATGGACGTTATGTGAGGCCCACAATGACACGTGGCACTACACGGGCGTGATACATTAGCATGGTAAAGGTGCAAATTTAGCCACCAACTATTTTCTTAGAATCGCTGGGTAGCTTTTACTATAAAAAAATGAATCATCCAACACCTTCCCCATCAATTTTGACCAAACACCATTTATTTTCATACTTATGAGGCCCATAAAGCATTAATCTCTCCAATCTTCTTGCCTTCGTTCTCAATATAAGCTCCAGAAGAAGAGGTTTAATGAGTTTTAATCTTAAGACGACAAGGACGATGCTAATGAAGTACAAGCTTGATTTTACTATGCATAAGAAAAGCTTGATTCTAGCTTAATTTAGTCATAAATTATTTATTCTACTTTGTTAGCGTCATCTCCGTGAATATCTTCAAATAAGAATTATTTCAACCTCTTCTTCTCGAGTTGAGATTGATAATGAAGGTAAGAAGATAGAGAGATTAATGCTCTGTGAGCCTCATAAGTATGAAAATAAATAGTGTTTGGTCAAAATTGAGGGGATGTTTCAGGCTAAGGAAGTTTGAGGTAATAACAGGTCTGTGATGCCCTTAGATGTTTTGGGCCGCACGGGCCCTACACTGATGTATTCAATGAGTCTATAGCCTTTGCCGACAGGCCCGGGTAATCTTTGAAATTTCATCGTGATGGGGATAGATCATTGCAATTGTTGGTCTTCAACAAGAAATTCCTAGTAAGTGCGAGTCATCAGCTCGCGTTGACTACGTCCCTACCCTTTGTACACATCGCCCGTCGCTCCTACAGATTGAATGGTCCAGTGAAGTGTTCGGATCGCGGCAACATGGGCGGTTCACTGCCGGCGACGTCGCGAGAAGTCCACTGAACCTTATCATTTAGAGGAAGGAGAAGTCATAACAAGGTATTTTCGTAGGTGAAGTTGCGGAAGGATCATTGTCGATGCCCCGCGAAAGATTGACCTGAGAACCAGTCGGAAAGCCCCCACGCAGGGCGAGCCTCCCCGCATGAGTCGAGGGCGCGACCCCGCTCAGCACGGGCCTGAGCCCCCAGCACAACAACCAACCTCAGCGCTCGAGGCGCCAAGGAAACACAGAGAAGCAGTGTGGCATTGGCGGTCCTGAAGCGGAGCCCTCGAAGCCAGCGCCGCGCCTTTTGCCGCTTGCATCCGAAAATAACTCTCGACAACGGATATCTTGGCTCTCGCATCAATGAAGAACATAGCGAAATACGATACTTGGTGTGAATTTTAGAATCTCGTAAACCACCGAGTCTTTAAACGCAAGTTGCGCCCGAAGCCATTAGGTCGAGGGCACATCTTCCTGGGCATCATACAACGTCGCCATCGCCCGGGACCACGCGAGGCAGAAGGTGGCCTCCCCAGAACCCCGGCTCTCGACAGGTTGAAAGTTGCCTCTCAACGATGGCCACCACGGTAAAAGGTGGATGAGATGCCAATTGAGCCCACACATGCACGCGCCGTCCCCCGAGTCGGGCCGCCGGATCGGTGTCCCTGAACACGACCCCAGGTCAGGCGGGGCTACCCGCTGAGTTTAAGCATATCAATAAGAGGAGGAAAAGAAACTAACAAGGACGTGCCTCGAGCAGGCCGGGACGTACCGAGACCATAGCCAGAGCCAGAGCCAAAGCTACAGCAACAGCCACAGCCACAGCCATCTTATCTAAGTCCAACTCCACAACAATTTGTTAATTTTTTAATGAACATGTGTAGAAATAATGAAATAATGGATCCAGAACTTCATCAGGCTCAAGCCATTCTTGGTTATGAGCGTTTTGATTATTATAGGGGGATCTTGTATAATACTAGATTTGATCCTACAAATCCTAATCGACGTAGGACAGCTCTTTTAGTTATGGTAGAACAATGTAGACGTGTTTTAGAAAATTAAAAAAGAAGATATTATATGCAATTTTTTTTATTTTCTCTATATTTAATATTTTATTAATATATATTTTATTTTTAAAAAAATAAATAAAGTGAGTAAATAATAATTAATGTGCAAGTTGTTAGATAAAAATAAATAAATATCAATATATACAAATTTGAGCGAAATTTCCAAAGCGAGCACATAACATCTTTTTTTTGTAAACTCTTTTTGAATTGCAGTGAGTACTCACTTTCAAGTCCTATGCTTGCTGCCGATGGTGATCTGACATCCGGTGACGATAGGATTTTTCTTTTATTTTTTTTAACTATGAGGAACATTTTAATCTTTTCACTTGTGAAATTAATATGTCAAAAGGATCAAAAGATTACAGTGAGAATATAAAATTATTTAATTTTTCTATGATATAAATATTATATAGTAATCTTTAAATGCTATTTTTTCTATTATTAGTGATAAGACAGGACAGCTTAGGGTCGCCACTTCGATCCTTTTCTTTTCCATCTCTAAGACTTTTCAATTATTAGTACTTGAATGGGGCATAGTGGTAAAAACAAAAATTGTTACAACAAGATTGATGATGTCACACTCTCTGGATTACATCTTATCAATCATAACTTTAATCGTACAGTTCTCTTCCCTTGTCCCTCTCAACTTGATCTATTCATATCACGCACTTCCACCCTTCTTTAATGCTATGATTTGCTAATGTAGATTATCTCCTTCCTCCACTTATAAGTGAAGCACCTTTGTCTAATCTTTCCTTTTCTTAAATATTAAATATTAAATAAAGGGAGAGATCAACGTAAATGTTAGAATACACTTATTTTTTAATTTCAGCAATAATTATTATTTATACAATTTATTATAATACAAGTTTTATTTTTTAGGTGATGAATGAGTCAAAATATTCTAAAACAGATTAAAGTTAATTTTATTTTAATTTTTAATGGATAAGAAATTTTAAAAATGTTTATATTTTTTATTTTGTATGAAAATGTCACATAACAAATATAAAGTTGTTACTTATATTTTAAATTGTTGGAGCATTAACTGATAGATTAATAATATTTATTGGGGATAAATTTTCTACTCTGAGGCATAACTTAATAATAAAATTATTTTTTATTTTTTTAAAATTTTTTCTCATATTATCAAAAGCATAGTATTAAAAACCGGACCGGACCGGCCGGTCCGACCGGTGACCCGGTGACCCGGAGACCAGTCCGGTCCGGTTCATATGGCCAAAGTGGCCTCATGTGACCCGGGTTAACCCGGGTGACCCGGGATTAACCCGGGTAAAACCGCCCAACCCCCCGGGTCGGGCGGGTTGGCCGATTATTATTTTTTAAAGAAATTAACCCCCAAAACGACGTCGTTTTGGGGGTCATCCTATTAAAAAAAATTAAAAAAGAAATCAGACGCCCTAAGTCTGTGGCTCTGTGCCTCACTGCCTCAGTAGTCAGTACCTCTGCGTCTCAATCTCGCAGCGAAGCCATAGCTGATAGGAATCCCGAATTCGAAGGTCGAACACATTTCACGTTATCTCAGTCCGAAGTTCGCCGGTTTGCCGTCGTCTCGTCTCATCTCTGGCTGAATCTAGATGCTAAACCCTCGAGTGACCTAAATCAGCCCTAACCTTTCGCAAGAATACCCAGGATGTTCATCAGCTTCTTTGCTTGGTTCTGTCTCTATCTGATTTTCGCTTCATCCACTGATATGGCATCGCAGTTTGTGTTTGGATCCGCCTCCTTCGGTCTGTGAGAAGCCATCTTTGCTAATACTCAGGTAATTATAACATTTTTATGCAACAAAATCTCTTACAATTTGCTGGTTTTCTCAATAAACGAGCTACGGATTTTGGATGCAATCACCAAATTCTGATGTTTGTTGTTTGAATTTATTCTGCATAACACGGATTTGTGTTGAACAATTTTTTCTTAGCTCTTTTAAATTTCAAGTTCAACTAAATTTTCCCTTATATGGGTCTTTGTTTTCTTTGTCATTTTAACGTTTACATAATTGCAACTGCTTAAAATATATAAACGTGATTTAGCATACATACATATAAAATAAACGTGATTACATATATACAAAATAGCTGTTGATTACATATATGCATTCCTTAGGAAGATATGCAGGGAGCATAGTGTCATCTTCAATGTCCCTCATGAGAGTCTTCTAAATGTTGGTCAGATATTCTATGTATAGCCCTTCCCCCTTCCATTCTCTTTATTTTGGTCCATGGTCAATAAGATGTATCCTTTAAAATTGCCATTTTGTGCACCGTTGAGCATAGTGTAGAATATGGCAATCATGTTACAAATGGAAGGAAAAAGGCTAGAAAAGAAACTCGTTTTAAGCCTCGAACGGCTGGCCAAGTTGATCCCTTCAATGAGTACATGATCACTAAACTGATTTTGCTTTTTTTTTTTTAAAGTTGTGCCTTCAGAGAGAGTAGTCAGTCAATAAACGTTTTTGTATGTATGCTGATTTGCTCTGGTTGTTGAAAATTAATTCGAGCTTTATGTTGCTCTTATTTGTGTACTGTATTCTGGATTTTTGGCTGCTATGATTGCTCCGGCTGCTCTAGTTTTTTTTTGCATTAGATATTTATTTATGTTGAAATTATCATAGCTTGCAGATTACAATTATAATATGGATATTGGAAGTAATTCTAGTAGTGATGGAACTGAGAATCCTACCCCGAATTCCAACAATCCTACTCCCAATTCCAACAATCCCACCCTTGCTAGCCATAATGACTCCACATCTGGAACCCCATCAGTTCGCGGGAAAAAAGATCCTGCATGGGCACATGTTGCTTTAAGAAAAGAGGGCAACAAAAATGTGTATACATGTCTTTATTGTGCATTGAGTTATAAAGGAGGTGGAATAAATAGATTGAAGCATCATCTTGCTGGTATAAGTGGAAATGTAGTTTCCTGTAGTAAAGTTCCTTTTGATGTTCGTTATCAGATGCAAGAATCATTAAAAAGTGGGAAAAAGAGAAAGCTTGTCGATGTACAAGCAGACATGGAGGAACATGTGTCTAATGCTAATGAACCCAATGCACCTGCTCCATCTAAGTCAATCCCTGAGAGTAGTGCTAGTAAAAAAAAACCTCCTACTATGCTAGTTGAAAATTATTTTGCCTCTAGGACAACTCCAGGTTCCCAACCAGGCATTAAGAGTGCATTTGCAACTAAAGAAGCACAACACAGTGCAAAAATGGCCATTGCTGAATGGGCGATCATTAATTGTATTCCATTTAATGCATTAGATTGCCCATTCTTTCAAAAAGCTATGGATGCTATTGCTTTAATTGGGCCGGGGTTTAAGGGTCCTACTGCTTATGAATTTAGAGTTAACTTGTTGAATGATTGGAAAAAAGAATGTCAGCTACTTATTGAGAGTCATCGATCTAAATGGAAAACTTATGGATGTACACTCATGGCTGATGGTTGGACAGATGTGAGGCAACGAACTTTGATAAATTTTCTTGTCTATTCTACACATGGCATAGTATTTGTAAAATCTGTTGATACTTCTGATTTAGTGAAAGATGCCAAGACTTTATTCTCATTGTTTTCTGAAGTGATTGAGTGGGTTGGTCCCAAAAATATTGTACATGTGGTGACTGATAATGCTGCTAATTATGTAGCATGTGGCAAGTTGATTAAAGAGAAATATAAAAGTATTTATTGGTCACCTTGTGCTGCTCATTGCTTGAATCTTACTTTGAAAGACATTGCAAGTATGTCTCATGTGTCACAACTTGCAACAAAGGCATCAAAGATCACTGTGTTTGTTTATAATCATATGGTCTTTCTGTCATGGCTCAGGAAAAGAAAGGGTTGGAAAGAAATTGTGCGTCCTGGTGCGACAAGGTTTGCTACAACATTTATCACATTGCATAGCATATATATGCACAAGCATGACTTACAAGCTTTAATCACTGATAAGCATTTTGTGGATCACAAATTATCAAGGACCGAAGCTGGAATAATTGTTAGTGCCATCATATTAGATAATCGATTTTGGAATGAATGTCTTGAAGTTGTGAAGATTGTGTCTCCTCTTATAAAGTTGTTGAGAATTGTTGATTCAGATGAGAAGCCTTCTTTGCCTTATGTTTATGAAGGCATGCAAAGGGCAAAAAAAGCAATTAAGGCAATCTTCACCAATAAGAAAGACCAATACAAGCCTTACACAGATATAATCCAAGCCCGATGGGATAAGCACTTGAAGACCAATCTTCATGCAGCAGCATATTTGTTGAACCCTGCCTTCTTGTATGATGATGACTTTGTTCATAAAAGAAGGTTAATGGATGCTATGCTTTCAGTGTTTGAGTCAACTGAAAATGAAGATGTTGATTATATTGTGATGATGAAGCAGTTAAGCTTGTATCGTGACCGTAAAGAATCTTTTGATAAAGCTTCATGTCATAGAGCAGCACAGAAGCTAGACCCTTGTAAGTGTTAATATTTAACATGATCATGGTAATTTTATTTATCATATAACATATAACTAATTCTCTTTTATTTGCAGATGAATGGTGGTCGTTTTATGGAAGTTCTGTTCCAGAGTTGCAAAATCTTGCAATGCGTATTCTTAGCCAAACTTCTTCCTCTTCTGGTTGTGAGAGAAATTGGAGCTTGTTTGAACGCATCCATACCAAAAGAAGAAATAGATTGGAACATCAAAGACTAAATGATTTAGTCTTTACAAACTACAATCTATGATTGAAGAATAGGTAATAAAAATAAAAGTTATGAATGTTTTTAATAAATAAAAATTTATTACTATCTCATGGTAGATATATTCTTATATTTGATTGTTTTGATCTCATTAAAGGAGCCAATTGAAGAAAAAGACAAGTTTTGATCCAATTGATTATGAATCTATTGACAAATTGGACTTTTGGATTGCTGAAGAGGAACAAGAGCCAGCTCCTGAGTTTGATGCTGATGATGTCACTAATTTGGAAAGTGCTATGCATAATGAGAATGTTGTAGCTTCATCAGCTTCTGAGAGAAATAATGAAGGTTCATACTTACTAACATGTCTATATTGCATAATATATAATTATTTTTTACACAATGATTAATGTTAATTTTTGTCATCAATAGGGGAAGAAGATATGAATATTTCAGAGCATCCACATTTGAATGATGATGTTGGAAGTGGTTCTGGTTTCTCTCAATCATCTCCTAATGTTTCAATCCTTACTCCCGGAGATTTGAATGAAATTAATGAGGATTTTGGTGTTGATTATTATTAGCTTTAGACTTTTTGATGATTAAAGGATTGTAAGGATGAATATTTTAAATGTTGTGTTTTTAATGATGTTTTGATGATTATCTTGGACTTGTATGTGATATTATATAAGATATTAAGTCTTAGAGAATTTATTTTTATTTAAATCATAT